GCTCCCCCATAGCCTCGGCCTGCATGTAGGGGAAATGAAAGGGTGGCGATGGCTATGGTGGACCTCATGTTGTGCCTGCAGTAGAAGTGGGATTCAGACATTGATGCTGGTTCAGCCATTCAACACTATTATTGTTATTTCTTGTTTGAATAAGAGGGGAGGAGACAAGGAGGAGGAGATTGGTTGGCGAAGAAGAAGAGCCTTGTCATTGGTCTATGATGGAGTACATCTTCTTCTTCTTTCTTACTTCTTCTTCTTCTTTCCCTCTCTCTCCTCTCAAGTTCATTCATTTCTTTTTGCAATTGGACGGCATTGTACTTTCTGATGTATGTATACTTCAAAATTGGCCAGGATCGTAACATTGGTATCAGAGCGGATTCTGCTTGCTGGCGAGAGTTGACTTTGCTGCCATAACCCTAACCCTGGTGGTAAGGGCTAACCACTTAGGGTTAGGGCGGAAGTTAGGGTTAAGTGGGGCAGCGTGGTAAAGGGAAGCTGCTCCCACCTGGCAGGGCTGTGTAGGGTCGACATTAGACCCGGCCAGGTAGCTTGAGTGCATGTTTGTGGTGGCGAGACACAAGGTGGGACTTCGTGATGCAACTTGAGAGAGGCGACAGTGAAGGGTACCTACAACTTGAATGTGGACTTCAAGGAAGACGAGGAGTGACTTTAGGGCTCCCCTCAAGTTAGGCGAGCTTGAGGGTGGCAGCCATATCTGCACCTACGGACTGCAAGTTGCTGCTTTGATCTTCATCATCGACGGGGGATCCGGCTTTGTACTTTGGGGTAGATGTTGACCCTCCTAGATGATAGGACACTAGTGTAGAGGATGCTAATTGGGTCAGGAGGACTATGTGAGAGGGGGGGTGAGCTCATTCATCTCAAGAGCCACTCAGGTAAGTGTCGTGCCGCCAGGGTGCCGATGTGTGTGTGCATGGGATTGACTGCCTGTTGGGGTATTATGGGTTCTTCTTCGATCCTCCATAGTCTTGATTGTATGTGAGGTGTGTGGACTACTTACTCGCCCGATGAGTGAATGGATGGGGTATCTTGTGCGCCATGCCATATCTTTCTACAGTGCTTTGTCTATTTCATTCTGAACGGCTGTAGTCTGTAGGTTCTTTCTGGGGCTAAATTTCGTTTTTCAATTTGGTAGGGACAGAGAGTAGGTCTTTGTGGAACTCTTGTTGGTTGGGACCCGGTTCTGACTCCACTGGGACCATTTGGGACTCAGTGGGACCGTACCCAAACAAGAAGGGCCCCTCAGGCCAAATCTGTTAACGTCAGTTATATTGCTCTATCTGATTGGGACTCGGGATTCATGCTTTCGGACCAGGACACTCGCTTCTGAGGGGATCTCAGCTGAGACGTTCTTAACGGACTGTACCGCACGATCCGCGACCTTACTCGAACCTTGGACACCACTCAATTTTGTCTTGTATTTACGTGGTACACTTTGAATCTGATTTGCTATGTCTTCACGGAGCTGAGTCCGACTAGGCTTGAGAGGGCCTCATATGTAGTCGATCTAGAATGTGTGGCGGAATCAGATCTCTCTGATCTTTATTTTTTTGTTGTTTTGACGGCTCTCTAGTCCAAATGAATTGCCGCTCCGGCTAGAAGTTGTACCTTCTCTTCTAACTGCTTTCAAGACTGTTTCTCTCATTGGGTTCGTTAAATGCCTGTGTCTACACGATCACAAACAAGAGAGAGAGAGAGAAGAGAGAAGCTTTTGAGCGTTGCTCTTGAGGGAGTGAGGAGAGGGAAGAGGAGTGTTCGTCCCAGAAGTGTGAGGAAGTATGGACCTCTCTTCAGAGACTTATTGACTCCCTCGTCCTCCATCATGGCATCTGCAGCAGAATGGAAGTTGCAAATGAACGCTCCCCCTGAGGCAGAAAAAGCGCAGCACCTGTTCTTCTATGAGAAAGCACTGAAGAGGGAAGAGGAAGAGAAGGAGAAGGAGAGGGAAGACAAAGTAAAGGCTCACGAAGCCGTCTTCAGTACCATGCCCGCCTTAACTGATGCTGAGGTAGACGAGAAGACTGTCCCACTCCTTAGGGCCTTAGTAGAAGTCCGGGCTGTTGAAGACCATACAGGCCAACTCGCCAAGGTGTTTGATGAACTCAAGAAGTTGCGCGAGGATATGGCCTTGATGGTGCAGCAGCACCGTGACCAGCTGCAACAGTTCGCTAGCTTGCAGCCGCCCCACAGTGTCCTTCCGCCTGCTTACCCTACTTCTAGTGCTGCGTGTCAGTCCGTTCTTGCCCCTCTAACTGTATCTTCTTGTTGTTGTTCTTCTTCTTCTTTGAGTGTGGCCAACAACCTATCCAGATCTGCAGCAGGTCCAGACCCCGTTGTTGCTGCTGCTGCGGAAAGTGGCAGTGCAAGGCATTCTGGAACTGTTGCAGCTCCGAATTCGGACCCAGCAATCGCTGGTCCTAGCTGCAACTTTCCCTATGTGGACAGGAAAGCGGCACAGATTCCATCTAAGTATGACAGAAAACACGACATCGAATCTTGGATCAGCTCCATGCGATCCTACTTTGATGTGTTGGGGACACCCCCAGTGACTCAGTCATCGGTCCTAGAGACCAATGTGGAACCCGCCGTAAGGGGCTTCTTAGAAGTCCAAGTTGTACAGTCAGGCTAAAAAAGAATAGACCTGAACAAATGGCTGAAGGCTACGCCTATAGCCGCACTCGAGGAACTCTTGATCAAACAATATGTTGATCCACATGCTGCAGCCAAAGCTAGACTTCAGCTTGACAAGCTCAAGCACAGCAAGTGGGCCGGCTCCATGCATAGTCTGCAGCAGTACGTCAGTAAACTCTTTGTTACTCTTGATTTGGAAATGACTGCACAATCTTGCTTGGATGTGATTAAAGGCACGGTTCCCTCTACTGTAACACATTGCCTGGGGATAGGACTCATAACGTATACAAATTGGCTTTCCCTCATGCAGGATTTAGTTAAACTGGAGGCATAAGACCTCCTGGGTGGATCGGGTGGCAAGAAGACCAACGGCTGCAAACGGTTTTCAAGCAGCAACCGTTTTGCAGCACACGATCTACTCGAGGTTGACGCGGAGACCTTCGCATAGGACCCTTCTCTTGATGACGATCAAGAGCAGGACTGCGAGGCATCTTGCTCTTCGTCGGCCCATGAGTCTGATTATGTGAATGCCTTTAAGAAGACTGCCTTCAAAAGTAAGGGACCGAGGACCACAGTGAAGAACAATACTAACACCATTCTCCTTCCCAAGGGAGCGAAGATTCCACCCAAACCAGAAGATCCTACCACAAAACCATGGGTAGATCTCCGGATCAGTGAAAGTGAGTGGAAACACAGGGTGAAGAAAGGGGTTTACCTGCATTGCACCAAACCGGGACATTCATTCCAACATTGCTTCAGATTGCAGGAGGAAAACCAGCAAAGGGGGTAGAGACAACATCAACACACTCTACACACGGAGAGGCTGAACATGTAAGTGCAGATCCTTCCCCGGATTTTGATCCCACTAAGCAAACCTCTCCTGAGACCCCATCTGATGCTGATTCCAAGGCTGAGAAAGTGCACATCCTATACAACGAGCCTAGAGTGGAGTTGAAAGAGATTGACTTTCATGCTCTCTTGTCGCGTTGGGCTCACATGAAGCAAGAACATGCACAAGGGAAAACGAAGTTGATCTTCTTCAAACTCTGCGTTAATGGCCGTTACATCCGTGCGTTGGTTGATTGTGACGCAACCGCCAACTACTTCACACCGCACAACATTCGTAAGGCACGCTTGGGAATGAAGCAAGTGACCTTGCAGAACCCTTGTCGGACCCAAGTGGGCAACCAAGAGGTTGTCAGATCTACGCATGCAGTCAAAGGTGTGCGCACTACCTTTGACACAGACCGCACAATCATGCATGAGTTGAACTTCTACGTCCTTGATAAGTGCCCCTTCGACGCGGTTATTGGCTTGGGCTGGTTGCATGCCCAATGTGAAAGAACCACGTGGAAGGACTCACAATTCATGGTCAAAGATGTCATGGGAATCAAGCGACCAGTCCTCTTGGATGAGCCACACGAGTCCCAACTAACTTTTCTCAATGCAATGCAATTCTGCAAAAAGTGGCGCAGGCCCAAAGTTGATGAGCAAATGTATATAGCCTTTGTTAGGCCTACTCATGTGCCTTCTATTTTTGTTGTACATAATGATTCTACTTTGCATGCCGTTTCTACTTCTAATGGAACTACTTCTCCCTCTACTAAGTCTACTTCTAGTCCAAACGACTCTGCTTCAAATTTTGTTGTTTCGGCTGCACCTATGCAATCCGGTATGCTTGCACCTAAAAATGATGATCCACCTCCGAAAGTCCCATCAGAAATTTGCAACCTTCTCAACCAATTTCCATGCGTCCGGTCCGACACAAGATCGAGTTGATAGAAGGTAGCACTCCTCCAAAAGGTTGTGTCTATCGAATGGGCTCAGGCGAATTGGAAGACTTGTAAAGACAGATCGATGACATGATTGGGAAGGGATGGATCAAGCCAAGCGAATCCGAATCCAGTGCACCGGTTCTGTTTGTCCCGAAGAACGGAGGCAAACTACGGATGTGTATCGATTACCGCGGACTGAATAGAATAACAAGAAAGAATGCATATCCTTTGCTGCATATTGATGATCTGCTTGCCGCTGCAGGTGGGTGCAAGGTCTTCAGCAAGATCGATCTCAAGTCTGGCTACCATCAGATTGAAGTCGACCCTGCAGACCAGCATGAAACTGCATTCAAAACCCGCGATAGGTTGTACGAGTTTACCGTCATGCCCTTCGGTCTCACGAATGAACCGACCACCTTTCAAAGTCTCATGGACAAGGTGTTCCGCAATCAGATCAATCGATTTGTTGTTGTGTATTTGGATGACATACTAATCTTCAACAAGTCGATGGAGGAGCACATGAGACACCTTGAGGAAGTGTTGCAGATCCTCAGGGATGCACAGCTCCATCTCAACTTGGAGAAATCTGAGTTTGGGAGGGATAGTGTCATCTACCTTGGACATCGGTTGTCTGCTGCAGGCCTAGAGCCCGAGGCAACCAAAGTTGAGGTCATCCGCAAATGGCCTCAATCGGCAAATGTCTGTGAGTTGCGTTGTTTTCTCGGTCTCGCGTCATACTACCGTAAGTTTGTACCCAAATTCTCTATCATTGCCCGACCGCTGTCCAGATTGACCAGCAAGAATGTGTCCTAAACATGGGATGGAGAATGCACAACAACCTTCCACGCATTGAAGGAGGCTTTGGCGAGTCATCCGGTGCTCTGCATTGCAGATCCTAAACTTACATTCGTAGTAACTACGGATGCAAGCTTGCATGGGATTGGTGCAGTGCTGCAACAAGACGATGGCGACGGCTTACGTCCGCTCGAATTCTACAACAAACGTATGCCCAGTCACAAGGTAGCTGCCTCCACTTAGATGCGAGAACTTTATGCCTTGAGAGAGGCACTAGATCATTGGAAGCACTATCTCTTGGGTCGCCATTTCAACGTGTTCTCAGATCAAGAGACTTTGAAATGGATTTAGACACATAATAATCCATCAACTACATTGACCCGCTAGCTGCATGAGATTGGTGTGTATGATTTCGAACTTAGGCATAAGAAAGGTTGTTACAATCGCGTTGCGGATGCTTTGTCTCGCCACCCTGATTACATGACTTGTCATGTGGGTTCTTATGATCTCCGTAAGAACTTGAAGGAGGAACTAGTTGAGCATACTGCCAAGGACCCGAAACTTAGTCCCATCCTTGAGCAGATCCAAGATGACCCTAGCAGTCAACCTGACTTAAAAGGTTTGCTCTTCCGACGTTACGCGAAGTACGACCGCCTGTGTGTACCCAATTATGAGCCTATCCGTACTCACTTCTTGGACTTGGCTCATGGCCGGAGTGGACACTTCGGGTTTAAAAAGATATATGGAAGTCTGTTGCAAAAGTCTGTATGGCCTGGGATGAAAGAAATGGCATGAAAGTTTGTGGTTGAGTGTGAAGTCTGTCAACGCATCAAACCGTCTCGGCAAAAGCCCTATGGGCTGCTGCATCCTCTTCCTATTCCTGATGGTCCGGGTGATTCTTTTTCCATCGACTTCACGGACATGGGAAAGAAGAGCAGGAACGGGTATTCACAAGTAATGGTGATCATTGACCGCTTCTCTAAGTTTTTGAATTTGATTCCATTACCACCTCACGCCCCAACTGACCTTGTGATCAAGGAGTTCCACAAAAGGTACATTCTGCAGTGTGGGCCCCCGAAAACTCTTGTGAGTGACTGGGACACTAGGTTCATAAGTGCAGATTGGAAGGACTTCACCTCCCAGATCTACGACATCAAACTTAAGATGACGTATGGCCGACATCCCGAAGCCAATGGACTGGCGGAGTAGGTAAACCAGACTGTGATCCAACTTCTCCGAGCTCTAATTGAGCCTGATCAAAACTCTTGGGATGAGGAATTGTCGATTGTGCAAGGACTATACAACAACTCCATGCACTCCTCCATTGGGATGACACCTAACCGGTTGCACCTCTGGTGGCAAATTTGCAATCCCCTATCCTATTTGGTTCCTGACCAGCCACCTGGCCTAACACCTGGCCAGCCAGGCTACAACGCTAAGTTTGATCGTTTGCTCAAAGTTGCTGCCGCAGCTATGGGAAGGCGACGCAGTGCCATGATTAAGCATGCAAACAAAAAGCGCCAGCCTTACCCTTTCACAGTGGGAAGTTATGTCTGGGTCAAGATGTCTGAGTTTTCCGAAGAAGGTGCATCACGAAAGCTTCTTCCTCAGTACTACGGTCCGTGGAAGGTGTTGAACCGAGTAGGAGATGATTGCTTTGGTCCCTCTTACACAATCGACGTGCCTCCTCACCTACGTATGTACCCAGTCTTTCATGCATCAAAGTTGTTTCCGTATGAATCACCCGAAACTTTTAAGTATCGAGAGTCAATGATTCCTCGTGCAATCAAAGGCGGTCACGAGGTTGATAGAATTGTCTAGCACAGTGGAAAGGGGAGAAACAGGCAGTACAAAGTTCATTTTTTGTACCACCTGTCGAATGACTTTTACTGGATCGCTAAGAAAGACTTGTTGCAGAGTGCCCCACGAGTCGTCAACACGTATAAACGACTGATTAGCTTCGAACAGCAACCTAAATTCACCGCTACCCTCACTCATACCCGATCTCTCTTTGCTATTTACGCTTATGATGCATTATGCAAGGACTCTGATTGAGTTACTCGCTCGAAGGGACCTCACTCTTGAGGGGGGGGTAGTGTAATGAACCGCCATAACACAGACTGAGAACACTGCTGATTTTCGAAGTTCTGCCGATGGAATGGATGCCTTGCTGAGATTCCCGCATTCTGCTGTGTTTTCTAAGTCTGTAAGTGTGCGTGCTTGTTGACTTGCGTGCCTGTCTGAGTGCTTGTCGGCATGAGTGTGTGTGTGTGACCCGCAAGGGTACTTGCTTGTTTGGAAGGCCCGTAGGGCCGGTACTTACCTGTGGCCGTGGCATTGAGGGTTGCGGCAAGGGAAAACACTCAAGTGGCGGAGCCAGAGGCCCAAGGTCCTTGGAGTAGCGGAAAAACACTCAAGTAGCAGGTAGACCGGTACCGCACCCAGTAGCAGTAGATGTGAGGGGTACTCTAGGCCGAGCAGAAGAAGACAAAGTTGGCATGTTAGAGGCCCAATAGCGGTAGGCTAGGTCTAGGCCGGTACCAGTCCATCCAGTCTGAGTCTAGAGCCTGTACGGGCAATATCAGAGTCTGCAATGATGTTTCCCTCCAAAAGGGAGGAGGTACCGGTTGCTTGGGAGGCCGAGCGGCCTGGAAGTCACCGCCCAAGAGGCAAGCAGGACGCTATATCAAGAGGCCAAGGCAAGAGCTCAGCCTCATTCTTCAGTGTGCAAGTTTGGCGACACGCTGCTGGAGTGCTGGCCGGAGTAGCGCTGGGTACTACAGCGCTGCTGGGAGGAAGAAGCCGGGAGCTTCCACCTTGGCTATGGTGGAGCTCTACCAGTAGGAGGAGGAGGGAGAAGGGGACCAAGGAAGAGAGTGGAGAGGTACTTACCTGGCTATGGTGGACACCATCTTCATCACCTTGTTACGCGCTGCATCTGGAAGGCCCCAGTTGGGGTAGTGCCGC